CATTAAATTTGGAATTTTGTAGAAAGAGTTATGCCCTTTCGAAGTTGGATAAAAATACTGGAAATTTCAGAATTTACCAAATGAACAGTACATAATTGCGTGGAAACTAGCATTGATCTGTGAGAAATTGATACCTGTGAACATTTTTCCTATGTAGAAAATTTCATAAGCTTCACATGAGACTTGGAACCACTCTGTTCCAATTTTTTTACATTTAGTTATGATTTTTCAAAGTTGACCTGATTTTTAAGGGTTACATGAATAGTAACTGAAATCAAAATTTTAAATCTTGGTTTTTACCTACTTTGAGCATCGTGTAACGATTCCAAATGGTTCTAAAGGATGTATAATGGGGTTTAAAATGAAGGTGTGACAGATTGACTAAGTGAAAAAAAATATCTAGGCTCCATAGGCCTCTTCATTGTCGATTGTGCCTTCAACTCCAACTAAAGAGACTTGAACTTGCTGAACCGAATCCTAGTAGATCTCTTTAGTTGTTGTGGCTCCAAAGATATAGGTTATGGATCAGGCTCCACATATTCAACAATGGCCAAGGGGGATACCTCCATCGGTATGTCACCCTCTACATCATCACCTTCAATACTGGGTGACACTTCCTTGGGAGAACTCGCTGCAGGTACATCACCCTCTGTATCATCACCTACAACACTGCCTGGCACTTTTATGAGGGAACTGGCTGTAGGTATGTCATCTTCCCCATCATAACCTTCAACATTGGGTGGTACTTCCATGGGGGAACTAGTTGTGGGTATTGTACTCTCTATTACAAATAGTTGCTTGTTATCACCCTCTCTATTACCCTTGTGTTCCCTATCCCCTTCACTCATGTAATCACCATCCTCTTGACTCTCTTCATCCTTCTCTTCATTCTCGCTATGATCCTCCATGTCACCCTTCCTATGACTATTTCCATCTTCATAGCCTCCTTTATTCTTCTCCTTTTCCTCAATTGTGTAATCATTGTTGCGCCTGTCCTCCTCATCATCTTTAGACTCACTAATATTTGTAGGCATTGTCTCAACCTGAGCCTTTCCTCTTGATTTACCCTTCCCACCATCTCCCTGTCTTGGGATCTGCACCTTTACTAGCTCCTTGTCCACCATTTTCATCAACATCTTTCGCCCTTCCTCTATCCTCTTCATTAGGCACTCGCGTAACTTCTTCAGCTCCTACATACAAAAGACATTTATCAATTAAGTATATAGAATAACAAGTTTACTATGGGAAATGACACGTTCACTATGGCAGATGACAAGGTCATTATACGGAATGACAACTTTAGTAAACCAAATCACAACTCATGTATGGCAGATGACAAGTTTACTATAGGGAATGACAAATTCAGTTAACTAAATAACAAGTGAGGTATGGCAAATGACAGATTCACTATGATAGATGAGAAGTTCATTATATGGAATGACAACTTCAGTAAACCAAATCACAAATCACGTATGGCAAATGACAAGTTCGCTATTAGGAATGACAATTTTAGTTAACCAAATAACAAGTAAGGTATAGCCAATGACAGGTTCACTATGGCAGATGACAAGTTCATTATACCGAATGACAAGTTTAGTAAACCAAATCACAACTCACATATGGCAGATGACAAGTTCACTATAGGGAATGACATCTTCAGTATACAAAATCACAACTCAGGTATGCCAAATGACAAGTTCACTATGAGAAATCACAAGTTCACTTTGGCAAATAATAAGTTTAGTAAACCAATTCACAACTCAGGTATGGCAACTGGCAAGATCACAATGGCAAATGACAGGTTCACCATTTCAGTATACTAAATGACAAGTTCAATATGGCGAATCACAACACAAGTATAGCGAATAACAACTTGAGTTTGCCAAATTACAACTTAACAATGACAAAGCTCTATTTTACTATAGCGAATCACAACTTCAATATAGGAAATGACAACATAACTATAGTAGATAAGAAGTTCAGGTTACCAAATAAAAACTTCAGCTTACCAATTATACCACATACCGGTCTAAAAACTCTATAATTATCCTCTCTTCTTTCCCCGTCACAGCTTCATTGCCTTTTTCTCCATACATAATTCCGCTAACACTCTTTCTCTCCTTGCTGGCCAATTCTTTTATCTTCTCATCAGTCCAGTATTCAATTGCAGTAGTGGACTTTCGACCAACAAGTGTGTTGAGGTTAAAATGCTCACAAAAAAAAAACTGCAAGTTAAGCACATATATACAACATTAATATTATGCACATTGGTAATCAAATGAAAACACAATGAGAAACAAAATAGTAATACTAGAAGCAAGTATATGCAGCCACCAACAGTGTTGCTCCCCTACCCTTCATTGCCTTGCCTGTACGTTTTGACATAGTCTCCTATTTCTTTCCAAAGGTCCTTTATAATATAGGTAGCCCAATCATACTTTCCAAAGTCATCCATTGTACAACGCATGACTCTGGCCAACTTCTTACTCACTTTTGAGCTTGATTTCGGACGTAGAAAAGTACCCAGCGTGTACAGCACAAATAAAAACTTAAATCTGTGATCCTCCTCCCCTGAAACAATGTCTTTTAGTATTTTGCTGAATGACACTTTCTGATATTCATTTTTCAACTCCTTATACATAGCATTATCTCATCAACTTCAGTTTTCACCTCCTCCCTACTGTGACGAATTCCTAGGAGCTACTTAACATCTTGTGCTCCTATTTCCTTTGATTTGCCCCTGATTGTAAATTGATGCGTTGGTGGGTCATATGTCTCAACATGGTCACAATGAGATCACGAGGTAGTCTTTTATTCAACTTTTAATAGCCTCCCAAAGTCTATTCTCTCAACCCTCTCCCTTAAGTCTTCATTATTATTCACAAAGTGCAGTAATTTTCTTAAACCCTTCAAGGACACTCGGGTTAGAAATGATAGAACGTGTTTCTTTTTCTCCTCTTCTCCCTTTAGTGGCCTTGTTTTCTTCGCCTTCTCGATGTACCTCATCTTCTCTTCAACGGACAGAGCTTTTCATGCATTTGACACAGCATCTCTTTTTTGTTTGGATGTCATGTTAGGGTTAGCTATTGTGCCCATAAACTCACTTCTGAATAGCAACCAACCATTGTGTGCCTTTTTCGATCAAGAGGCTCCTTCTGATGCCATCTTTCTTTTCCTATAAAACATTCAACATACAATCATTCACAACCATATTTACTAACTATTTATCACCTCTGTTAACAATCTATTCTTTAACCAATAGCGTTCTTACATCACCACCATTGACTTCTTATTGCAAGACATGAACTTGTAATTTCATATAAGCAAGTTGTCAATTTCTCAAACTAAACTTATTATTCTCAACTACTTCTCATGCTTGTTATTTCTCATCATTAACTTGTCATTTACAATTATCAACTAGTTATTTCAAATTATAAAGTTCTTTAATTGTCATACTCGCCTTTGTTATTCTCAATTTGTTATTGTCATTTTTAAACTTGTCATTTCCTATTGTTTACTTGTTAGGATCCCATGGCAACCTTCTTATTTTCAACTACTCAATAACTTGTTATTCACTATATTAAACTTGTTATTTCCTATTAATAACTTGTCAATTACATAATTGTTGTTTTACATTATCAACTTGTCAATCCCCCTACTTCCATGTTGTCATTTTAAACCAGACTAACACTTTAATATCTCTTCAAATCAATTTACAGTTAACCAATTCAATTTGCACTTTACCCATTCCTGTGTCATCATTTCCCAAACTAATCTTGTCATGCTCCTAATTGATCTTCTCATTCCTTTCTCATCTAAACCCATTCGCACATCTTCTTCCACAGATAAGCATTTTTTGCTAATCAATCACAACTTATTCAACAGAAAAACATATACATACTTTCGTGCTCTAAACGTATTCCCTCTCCTTAATGTATCACACATGCAGCAACCAACACAAACAAACCAAAGCTTCAAACTTACCACCAGATTTTGTCACCGAATGCCGTTGTTAACTCTGATAGCCACACTCGATAGTGACGATGCCTCTACCTCCTCCCCTTCCTTTAACAATACCGACAGATCACTACTCTAGCACCACTTCGTTCTCCTCTCCCACAGCAAATACACTCTTCTCTCATACAATACTCCTCTTACCGAAAATGTTACTGCAAAATGGAAGCAACCTCCTACATGAAAATGGATAGAGTGCAAAGAATGGAGACACTGGACAGAGCAGAGAGAAGTTATCGCACGTTGGGGGGAGAGCGTGGACAGGTTTTTTTTTTTTTCCCCCCCAAATGACTAAGAGGCATTTCAGACATTTAACCCACATTTTATATTTGCAATTTGGGACTAGGTCCTCTGTAGCTAGTTTCCAAATTCAGGGTCCCTAATTGCCATTTTATATATTGGGGTCTTTATTTGCAATTTTTTCTTATTTTTAATATTTTGTATTTCTATACATGTATATAATATTAGTTTTATTCAATTATTATTTTATCTCGATCGTGACTTGGTAGTCTTTTTGGTTGGATGTTCAACCTGACATTTAAAAGATTGCTTATAAACCTTTAAAAAGTTAAAGTTTTGGCCTCTAAAATTTTATTTTATTTTATTTTGATTTGATTTGATTTGATCTATTGATTTTAAGTATCCATAACCAAGATCCTCCTACTTATAATTATTTTAATTAAATCACTGATTTAAAAATTCTACTAATATTGTAATTTTTACGTGCTTTAAACAGTCTAAATATTATGATAAAAAGGGAGAATAGTAAAATGAAATTATCCATATATTTAATATTAATAAAATAAGGAGATAGAACTTAGATTAAAATGTTTATTTAATGAATTTCTACTGAAAACGACATAATTTTTTAAAAAATTTGAATGAGCTACCCTTGCATGTAATTATTGACCCAATGAGAACAAAAGGGGCATCTGAAGTTGCAATATTCTCGATATTGTTATCTTATAGATCCTATCTTCATCGTATTCCGATTGGGGGACTCGCTCTCAGAAGTCATCTTATAGCTTTTGCCTTCACGTTCTTTGCTCTTGCTGTACCCGAAATGGAAGCCCTCTCTTGCTCTGCATTAACGTTTTCAAGGCCTTCTGATCTATCAGGCCACTGTTCTGGTGGGTCTTTTTCTGTCCTTAGGTTAGCTTTACCTTCGGCTTTCTCCAAATGTCACAGAAGACACCGCATCGGTGTACCCAAGGCTTCCATTGCCGTTGAGCAACAGAATCAGGAGACTAAGGTTGCTCTCATCAGAATTGGTACTAGAGGAAGGTATAGTGTTTCCTTTTTTCTTTTCTTTTTTTTGCGTGTACTGAGTTTTGGCAAGTTTTTGTGTTGATTTCAAAGGGGTTAAGCACCATTGTAGGGTTTGAGGCTTCGATTCAGTTGGTTTTATAGTCGTGTAATTTTCAGCTCATAATGAACAAACGAGATGCATAGAAACAAACGTCATATTGAAAAGTGTTTCGCACGTATTTCATATTAACATATGCTAACAAATATATTAACATCCTCTCTCCTGAGTGCAGCTGCCTCTGGAAATATTGTACAACATAAGATGAAATTCTCCTTTTGTTAAAATTTAAATTTTAAGGTTGATTTGGATGTTTATAATTATGGAAGAAATGTTCCCTTTGTTTGTATAAATTCGTAAAAGTCAAAAGAAGCAGTTTGGCAAAATGTAAGGTTATAAAAATGGTATATAGATACTCGGAAGATTGGACCATTTGATTGATGCACATTGCCGTGTATTTGGTATGGCAGCTCCCACAACCACCCATCTCCCTTCTCAATCTCCCCAGAAAGAAAAACCAGAGAAGGAAAAATTAGCTAGTCAATGCAATGCCTGTGATTCTTTTAATTTAGAAGTAATTTTTTGAAAGAAATACAATCTGATTTTTGTTCTGTGCTAAAGGCTAAGCTGCTTTTATTTTTTGTCTAGTTATTACTTGCTAGATGAATTTGGATAGTTTAGTTATCAATTTAACTAATATTTTTGTGTTCCTACTTTATTTTGGGTTATTAATGTATATAATATATGTAGAGCAGTCCTCTGGCTTTAGCTCAGGCATATGAGACCAGAGACAAACTCATGGCAATACATTCAGATCTAGCTGAAGAGGGTGCTATCCAGATTGTAGTAATCAAAACAACAGGGGATAAAATACTATCACAACCACTTGCAGACATAGGTGGGAAGGGCCTGTTCACCAAAGAAATAGATGAGGCCCTCATAAACAGTGAAATTGACATTGCCGTCCATTCAATGAAAGACGTGCCTACATATTTACCTGACAAGACTATCCTTCCATGCAACCTTCAACGTGAGGATGTCAGGGATGCTTTTATATCCTTGACTGCATCGTCATTAGCTGATTTGCCTGCTGGAAGTGTTGTTGGCACTGCTTCCCTCAGAAGAAAGTCACAGATACTCCATCGATATCCATCCCTAAGTGTAAGTTTGTGCTGTCATTGTTGTTGCACTGGACAGTATGATCCAGTCACACCTTACTCATCTGTTTCTTATTGAATTATTCATGTCTGTTCTTATTAACTCTTGAAGCCGGAAACAGTTCTTGTTTATGCTTCTTATAACTTAATGGGGGATCAAATATTTAGAGGAATTAAGATTCCCTTAACTGGTTGCAGAAGGTGGTCTAATCATTATATTCGAATATGAATTGATTTATTGTGTAATTTTTATCTACTACTCCCCCTTCTCCCACTATGTATTTCTTGCAATTTAATTTTCCTTTTAGCTGATTACTATTTGTATTATAACAAGTATGCCTTGGGAAATGGGAAGGGGTTGGGGGTCATGGTCTCTTAACATTAAAATTTTAATCTAAAATTGATTATCTGTGCTATGATAACATGTTGGAAATGACAGAATCATTCAGTGTAAGTAATATATTCAGTAATATAGAAGAGGTTTAGGTTGGATTACAAATCGCCTTGTGTTCAACACTTTTATTTATAACATAGGAAAACGATTACATTGGTGTTACCAATCAATCATCCCTCAAGGTGCCTCCCAAGTATAGTGATCAACTTGAGAATCTGTCCTAATTTCCGGCAGTCAAAAGAATGCTAACTTGCAACATTATGCTGAGCAGCTACGATTTTTATTCTAATCTCACATTGCTACAAATTTTTATCTTGAAATTAACATAAAGGAGACTGAAAAAGACCACTGTGCCCCTTTACTTTGGGTTAAATTTTTTTCTTCTCTTCTTTGAAAGTAATAAAAGGAGATAGAAATTGCTGAATAGTTATTGAAATGAAACAACAGACATTGTAACAGAGTGAGGGAATGAGAATCATGTTCCCTCAAACAAACCAAATGGGGCTTTTAAGTATGGATGTTAAAGAAATATGGGCTGAGAGAGAGAGAGAGTGCTTTTACATGCTAGTATCATCTATGAGGTGGACTAGAAAGTCTTCAAATTTTGACAAAGGAGTTATATTTTGACTATGACTATTATTATTTGGGGAAACAGCCATGAGTATCGGGTTGCATAAGATGTTCAGGCATAAATTTCATCTTTTGGATTGTGCCTTGTGACTGATGCAGGCTAGATAGCTTATGAAACCAATCATGGTCAAACACTGCATTTCTTTTTAAAAGATTGATAATACAATGTGGTGTGGTTGACGGTAACTTAATTACACAGATATTAGTTAGTTCACCTCTGTTGTCACTGTTTATGGAATGGATGTGACTGAAGAATAATAGACAATGTGAATCTCATTTTTTGACCATGGGGGGTTTGTAAATCTTGCCTTCTGTAGTCAATGTTTGTGTATATTTTCTATTTCTCCTATCTGTATGAATTTTATTGGCCTTCTCAAAGCATTGCCTCATCCTGTTGCTCATGTATTATTATTCTTGGGCTGTTTCTAGAATTATTACTGTTATAACTAAAAATTATTATTATAATTTCAATCTCAGGTGCAGGAAAATTTCCGTGGCAATGTCCAAACAAGATTAAGAAAACTCAGTGAGGGGGTTGTCCAGGCTACATTATTGGCATTAGCTGGACTCAAACGCCTAAATATGACGGAAAATGTGACATCAACCCTATCAATTGATGACATGCTTCCCGCTGTTGCCCAAGGTGCAATTGGAATAGCTTGTAGAAGTGATGATGATAAAATGGTGAGTTTTTCTTTTTAAACAAGATAGAAATTATTATATTGCATATTGTTACCACACTTAGTGGTGCTAGTTGCGGCTTAAAAGTGCTTGAGGACAATTTGAATTATCCTATAAAATGCCATCTGAGGAACTCTACCCTTCTGTTATTACCTGGAGAGTCTTCGCAACATAATATAAATTGTTTAAATTTTTCCCCCCCCTAAAAAAATCACAGCTTGTAAATAAGCCATGTCCTGGCTATGTCTAAATATGATTGATAAAAAGATGAATAGTTATAAGACTTTTGACCATTCGAACTATTGATTTAATTATACATCTTAATGTAATTGAATATTAACAAAATAATATATTTTTTTGGCCAACATTAACAAAATAATAATATTGAGACACGGAATTTATTATAGAGAATAGAGATTTTGTTACCATGATCTAATTCCATTTTACTGAATTCCTTACTGCTGAAGAATAGGTCTCCAATCCACAGTTGAATAGCTAATTCTAATAAATTTGAACTCAACATACAATTTAATGATACCCCCCCGATTTACTGACACGTGTCTTGTTTTATTGCTTCTATGATTGTTCTCTAATTGCAATAAGGCAATGACTATCAGAAGTTTCAATTTTGTATTTTGATACTTAGATTGCATATTTACTAAATTTGTTTAATTCATTTGTCCTATCAGCCTGTTTCTTTTTGTTTTATATTTCCCCACTCAACCTGGGAATATACTCGTAATTCGTTTCAAGTTTCGGAAGATTTGAAATTTTCTTTCGTTGGCTGATTTCTTCTTCAGGCAGAATACCTTGCGTCATTAAATCATGAAGAAACAAGACTGGCAGTTGCATGTGAAAGGGCCTTCCTTGAGACCCTGGATGGGTCTTGCCGTACTCCCATTGCTGGATATGCTTGCAGAAATAAGGATGGTGATTGTTTATTTAGAGGATTAGTTGCTTCTCCTGATGGAACTCGCGGTATGGACAACTTTATTTCCAGATTATTTAAGGCTTCGAAAATGCAATTTTAGTCCTTCTAGTTCTATAAAGCTTTCAATTTGATCTTCCCATTTCATAATCGGTCAATATTGCCTTCCCTTTTTAAGATGATCCGATATTCCTCTTCTATCAGATAATCCATTTAAAATTTTATTTGAAAAATAACTTCATTTACTTACTTGACACCATTAACAAACATTTAACTTTGGCTTTCAGTTAGAGATTGTCAAGTTTGTTGATAAATTTTACACGGAGATCTGATACCGGAGTAAGCACTGGATTGTGTTATTGCTTGCTTTTTTAGATGTAGAAGAACCAAACCAAAACTTGTATGAAACTAGACAAAATGTATTTCACCATTGTCGAATGAGACTTCATCTAGCTTCTAATCCTTCATAATACTATTCGCTAAGCTTGGCCTTTGATTTTCTTAATGTAGTTCTTGAGACGTCAAGGACGGGTCCATATGCTTTTGAAGATATGGTGAAGATGGGCAAGGATGCTGGGCAGGAACTTCTTTCTCGGGCTGGTCCTGGCTTTTTCAGTAGTTAACCCCTTGGATTAAACGATGACCAAATACAGAGATTTCTATGTCAGTTTTAGGTAATTGCATGCCAAGTTAATTCATTCTTTGACCTGTTGTAACTTAAGAAAATGATTGTGTTCAGTTGAGTGCAAAAGTGAACCGCTCAGAAGGTTCCCCCCTTTTTTGGGTTATTCCACGAATAGGTTCAAACTGTTGTACCTTTAGGAGATTGGAAATCCAAATTTTGTAATGTGAATAATTATCTTCTGCCTATATATTATTCAGTCAAGTATCAAACTTGAGATTATTCTAAGCACTGACTGACCTCTGGCTTTGCCAAATATTCTTATATTTGCTGGATATAACTGCTACGGCAGTGGTGAACAAAAAGGCCTTGTCTGGTACCGCTATGCTTTGCAGGTCCAAATTCATTATGATCTAAAAGATGCGGTTAATTTTTATATTTAATTCTGGGAGAGTTTTGATTCATTTAAATGAATCAAGTCTCATACACATTTCCTAGAAATTGGAAATTTCCGAAAGCTGCCCCCTCTTCTCTCCCACGCACTCCCCATGCAGTTCTCATTTGGGTAATATGGGAAATGAGAATTATTAAAAATTAACTGCTATTGGGATGTTATTGCATTAAGCCTTACCTTCTATTGATACTTATTACTTACAAAATAGTATGGAATATATTTTCATGTTTATTCATGAACAGAAAGGGAGAATATATACACAAGAAAGGAGTCGTAGGCATTAATGGCTCATTAATAGGAGATAATATCCTATCGTATAATATCCTATGATATCTGATTTGATCATATATTAATTGTAATATATTTACATATCTCTATACTCCCCCTCAAGTTGGAACATAGATGTCAATTATGCCCAACTTGTTACAAATATAGTTGACCCGAACTCCATTCAAGGCCTTAGTAAGGAGATCACCCAACTGATCACTGGATCTCACGTGTCATATTGAGATGAAGTTTTCCTTGAGCTTATCCCCGAACAAAATGACAATCAATTTCAATGTGTTTTGTACGTTCATGGAATACCGAATTAGAAGCTATGTGTAAGGCTGCTTTGTTATCGCACCACAGTCTTGCTGGTAACGAGGTTTTAAGTCCAACCTCCTTCAATAACTGATGTATCTAGACTATCTCACACACAAATTGTGTCATAGCTCTATATTCTGCCTCTGCACTTAATCGTGACACCACATTCTGCTTCTTGCTCCTCTAGGACACCAAATTTCTTCCCACAAAGACGCAGTACCCTGTGGTAGATCTTCTTGTGGCCTTTGAACCACTATGATCAGCATCACAAAAGCACTTAATATCTGTATGCCCATGATTTCTGTATAATATCCCACGACTTGGAAAGCCCTTCAAGTAATGAAGGACATGCTCTAAAGCTTCCCACTGTCTGATAGTAGGCGAGACCATAAATTGGCTAAGTACACTGACTGGATAGGTGATATCAGGACGTGTCACAGTAAGATAATTCAATTTTCCAATCAGTTTGCGATACCTCTCAGGATTTTCAAACGGCTTGCTCTTAGCAGCGTCAACGGGATTCTCAAATGGTATGCTTCCATCAACATCAAGTAGTGGATTATAAATCATAGGAAAACTGTTTGGTGCAGCTCCTAACTTTCCAATTTCCTTTAACAGGTCAAGAACATACTTCCTCTGAGTGAATAAGATTCCTTTCTTACTTCTCAAAACCTCAATTCCGAGAAAGTACTTTAACGGGCCCAAATCTTTGGTTTGGAAGTGAGAATTAAGAAAGGACTTAAGTGATGAGATCCCCGATATATTACTCCCTGTAATCACAATGTCATCGACATACACAGCCAATAGAATTATGCCAGTGTCTGTTCTCTGATAGAAGACAGAGTGATCACACTTACTTTAATACATGCCAAACTTCTGCACAACAGTACTGAACCTGTCAAACCATGCACGGGGACTCTACTTCAGGCCATATAAGGATCTCTTGAGGCGACATACTTCCCACGCTCCCCCTAAGCAATAAAGCCTAGTGGTTGCTCCATATAAACTTCTTCAAGGAGATCACCATGTAAAAAGGCATTTTTGATATCCAATTAATGGAGATCCTAGCCATAGGTCACTGCCATGGAGATGAAAAGGCGAATAGAGGAAAGTTTCGCAACAGGGGAGAAAGTTTCAGAGTAATCAACGCCATAGGTCTGAGCATAGTCTTTAGCAACCAAGCGAGTTTTAAGACGGTCAAGGGTACCATCAGCTCAAGTTTTAGGGGTTAAGACCCACTTACACACAATAGCCTTCTTCCTTGCCGGTAGATCCACTAAGGTCCAAGTGCCAACCCGATCAAGGGCCGCCATCTCCTCTTCCATAGCAGCACGCCAACCTGGGTGGGCTAAAGCTTCATATAGGGTCTTAGGGACGAAAATAGGATCTAAAGCAGAGACAAAGGCACGAGAGGTAGGGGAAAGGTGGGTATAAGAAACAAATGAGGAAATAGGATAGGCGCAAGTGCGTTTACCTTTGCGAAGAGCAATGGGCAAGTCAAGTGAAGGGTCAGGATCAGGAACAGGAGGTGTCTCGGAGTTGGAGATAGATGTAGGCTCAGGATGAGATATGCTCAACACAGGATCTGATGACAAAGCAGACAATGGAGGGCCGAAATCTGGAGTGGTAACACTGGTCTTCTTGGAACATCTAGTGTAGACACGAGACAGGGGTGGTGGCATAGGTGCCGAAGCTGGAGCTGGAGCCGGAGGTGGTGAAGTGGGTGTCGGGAGAGCAGGATACACTAGAAGGTCATCATCGTCCACAGATGGAGGAGGGACAGGTGAAGCAGACAAAGAAAAGTATGGAATCGATTCCTGAAAAGTGACATCTGCAGAAACCAGGTAGCGATTAAGAGTAGGAGAGAAACACCAATAGCCCTTTTGAACCCGAGAGTATCCTAGAAAGACACACTTAAGAGATTTTGGATCTAATTTGGAGACAGATGGTCGTACATCTCGGACAAAACAAACACAACCGAAGATCCTGGGATCAACAGGAAACAGAGGTTTGGTAGGGAAAAGAGTAGTATATGGAATGTTACCATCAAGAACTGAAGAGGGCATGCGGTTAATGAGGAAGCAAGCAGTAGAGACAGCATCAGCCCAGAAAGTTTTGGGAACCTTCATCTGAAACAGAAGTGCACATGCCACCTTTAGTAAGTGGTGATTTTTACGTTCCGCAACACCATTTTGAGATGGTGTATCAATACAAGAAGATTGATGAAGGACACCATTTTGAAGCATATAGGATTGAAACGTGGTAGAAAAATATTCTTTAGCGTTATCACTTCATAAGGTGCGAACAGAAGTATGAAATTGAGTTTTAACTTCCGCAAAAAAGGCACAAAAATGGGAAAATAATTCAGAACAACTTTTCATTAAATATAACCAAGTTGTACAGGAATAATCATCAACAAATGTAACAAAATATTTGAAACCTGCTATTGACTCAACAGGACACGGACGCCAAACATCAGAATGAACTAGCTCAAAAGGGGATGAAGCCCATTTATTGCCTCGAGAAACTAAAGGAAGATGATGATGTTTGGCAAACTGACATGTAAGAACCCTTAACCTTAAAAACATTATAACTCATCATAAAACCACTACTATGGTAGAAAAGGAAATCTGTTAAAATGAGCTACCATAGTAGAACGAAAATTTCATACTTTCAGAAATTGATTTTTAAACTCGGGTCAACCCATAATCCATTGCATGCAACTGAAATCATTCATTCATATATACTGGGCCTCCGAGCCTCCGGCCTGGGTAACAAAACACATCTACAACAGCCCATATAAAATAACTTCCAACAGCGTAAATCAAAGTTCTACCAACAATAGAAAAGGCCTCCGGCCCACTAAAACGAGGAGATAACATATTCTCCCATTTACAATAAGATCAACAATCAAAATATCACAAAAGACCCTAACTGTGGCAATATACAACTAATCATACATAAACAAAGGCTAGAGGCCTAAAGCTAACCAAGCTCAAGCCTTTGCGTCTCTTCTCGAAGGCGCACGCCTAGAAACTTCACCTGAAAACATTGTAAACCACGGGGTGAGACAAAGTCCCAGTAACCAACCTTTCCAATACTAGGTACTACTAAATAGGTGCTCGTGAGGTGTCAAGTGGGACAGTCCACAATAATATAATAATTGATAGCCACAACAATTAATGCAGGTGCAATGATGCAATCCCATCAACCATATCCCTCACTTTGGGGGATTTTCAAGAGCCGAACCCGGCCTATCCCTCATTATGGGGAACGTAAGGAGCCATAAAAGGCCTATCCCTCACTCTGGGGGACGTAGAGAGCCAAAAAGGCCTATCCCTCACTATGGGGGACGTACTGAGCCAACCATCATGCATTAATGGAGGCCTTACCACGTGGTAGTAACAGACAAAACTCTCACCAACTCCCAATTAATGCATCATGCTCAAATCATAATCAAATAGTAATTGAACATCTCATAAGTAACTTCATTCAGTGGTATATCCTTCACAATTTCAAGATTTCATTCATCATCAATCAAAACCCCACAAGACGGTTTTCTCTTTTTATATACAACATATAGTTTGAACACAATTACTACTTGGAGCACAAAACACAAATCTACTCACAATACCACAGAAGCAAGTACTAAGGATTGGAAAGTGGTTACCTCTCGCCTGAGCAAGGAATAACAAACCGACAATGTGGCCCCGTGCACCACCACGACTCACAACCGGTCTACACAAGCACACAAACACACAACCATCATATATTAGCTTTCAAACTAATAATGTGGCCAAAACAACACTTGGGGACACAAAATTCCTATCTCCCATCAAAACTCTACCCGACTCGAAGGGTATATCTATCAAGGCAACACTCCAAAGTCATACCAATCCATGAAAACCTTAATTCCTTTCCAAACATCAATTAAATTTCATAACCTCAAGGACCCACTATAAGAATTCTACACCCAAACATCTATTTTGAACAATTGGAGTTCTAACAACAATCTAAACCGATCAAACATCCAATTTAACCCTCCTTAACATAACCCAAATCACAAAACTCAGAATCAACCTCTACATTGTCATCCTCAATCCCAAATCACCTATCTCCATAAATCCTAACTCCAAAAATTCAAGATTCTTTAAATCCAAGGAAACTACACCGATTAAATACTTAAACTAACCCAAAGCAATCAATTAAACTCAAAACAATCGGTCAAAAACCTAAGTTCCATCACAACC